CCTTCTCCAGTGTGCTCCCGTACCACAGCTCCGAACCACATTTTGTTGCCGTTATGAAGATGCCAGAAGTAATGTCTGAATTTTCTGTGTGGGGCAAATACTTGGAAGGGATTTATTCCCATGATAATGGTATAGAAGAGTAGTTAGGAGATATTTCTGGACTTGCTTCTCATTAGATTATTGACCATACAGTGCTTGCCACAGGAGCGCATAAAGCCTGTATGGGAGACACTGAAAAGAAAAGGACAAAAATAAATTGAATCAAAGTGGAAACACTCTACAAAATGTAGACTGCTTGGTATTATTTGACTTCTTCTCCAGTGGAGACACAAGTTCAGTTGGCCTTGATGGAAGGAGAATGATGAGTTGATTAGTCAGTCCACTTGTGCACTATGTCAGAGAGACCAGAGAAATACTCAGGCGACTTGAGAAATAGGCAAATTCTGAAATTATCTGGTCTGAAGACATTATCCTTTTGAACTAAGCTCTTCAAAAAACAATCACAACTGGTGTCTCCAAGATTCTGTTTCTAGGAGACAAGCCTGCTTGTTCTCATCACATTAGCACACAGACAAGCAGCTCTTGAAGGAATCCTGGCAAAGAGCCTGTGAGACAAAATATTGGTGTGGACTGCACCAGCTATCACCAAACGTGGAGCAGAAAGGGAGTGTGTTGGGGAAAACATCACCTGAGGGAAAAAGTCCGTGCAGCAGTGGTGAAGGAAGAGAGAACTGCAGATCCAAAGAAGAATTATGTGAATTCTGTGGCCCAGGATCCTGTTGGCTGTATGTCTCTATTAGCACTCTTCCTCAAGGTGGGGGCCTTCCCTTGTCATATTTCCACAGTGTTTCTCTCCCTCTCCCCCATCCCAACCTGCGTGTTCCTGAACAGTCACCTAGGACTCATTCCCTCTCTCTGCCCCAAGGCAGGGGTGGCAAAGGGCTCTGCGTCAGAAGGAGGAAGTCAGTGAAGAACAGGACTGCTCAGAGAAGTATGACTTCAGAAAATAATTTCATCTCCATGAGGGCAGGGATCCTCTTTTTGTTCATGAATATGTCTAAGCCATTAGAGAATAGTACCTGACTTATCAATTGCTCTTTTTTTAAATTTTTTTTAAATAAACATATAATGTATTTTTATCCCCAGGGTACAGGTCTGTGAATCGCCAGGTTTACACATTTCACAGCACTCATCATAGCACATACCCTCCCCAATGTCCATATCCCCACCACCCTCTCCCGTCCCCCCTCCCCCCAGCAACCCTCAGTCTGTTTTTTGAGATTGAGTCTTTTATGGTTTGTCTCCCTCCCAATCCCATCTTCTTTCATTTTTTCTTTTCTTACCCCCCAACCGTATCAATTGCTCTTAATAAATATTTGTTAAATAAATTTTTAAATGAATGAACACACTTCTGAGTCCTGAACCAACTGTAATGGTGGCAAAGTACTTCAACATTATTGAGCTCCACAGAAGAGGGAATCTTCCAGGATTTCTAAAATTTGATCATCTTACAGGATACCCAGGAAAGAACAATTTTCTATCTATTCTGGAGATTAGATCTGATTAGATCTGGATTCCGCCATCCTTGTTGGCCAAGCCCACAGTGGTTCTCTGAGGCTTCCAGACGGCACTCGGGCACTGCACGGCCTCAAATGGAGCAGAGGAACCTTCTGTGAGGCCAGGAACCACAGGCCTGAAGTGCATCAGCTCTTTGAGGCCAGGAAGCAATGCCCAGCTCCTCTTGCAAGTAAGGCCAACAGCCTGGGCTCTCTTGCTAGGGTTGGTGCCCTCATTAATAATAAAGAGAATCGTGTCTCTTTCTCTTCTGCTTCTCCAAGCTTATTTTCTCAGAATTTACCCTGTCTCTAGGTTTTCAACTTTTGGAAACAAAAGCCAATAAAATTTCCAGACTTACTCTGCATTCTTCCCTGACTTCCCCCAGGTACTGAGACACAGAGCTTACTACCAACTTAAATGGTAGAATGGAAAGGGGAAATGAAGGATGGGGGGAAAAAAAAACAACCCATAAATATCTCAAAACATTGTCCAGCCATATGGGTATTGAATCAGGTGCATAGAATTATGGCAACTGTGAGCCCTACAAGTCATTCCACTGACTACAAAAGCAGTTTAAAAGAAAGAACAATTGTGTGTATCCTTCTCTGATACTACCAATGTAGAAAGGAAAGGGACTTTTTTTTTTTTTAAGATTTTATTTATTTATTTGACTGAGATCACAAGTAGGCAGAGAGGCAGGCAGAGAAGAGGAGGAAGCAGGCTCCCTGCTGAGCAGAGAGCCCAATGTGGGGCTGGATCCCAGGACCCTGAGATCATGACCTGAGCTGAAGGCAGAGGCTTAACCCACTGAGCCACCCAGATGCCTGGAAAGGGACATTTAGTAACAGGTTTCTTTTATTTGGCTTTGTTTTGTTTTTAGGTCTAATATCCTCCTATAACCAACAGCTCTGAAGAAACTATTTCTTCTAAAAATTGTAATGATCAGAATTTCTTAGACTCCTTTCTGCTGTGATTTTGCTATGGCCTTTAGACAGCTTATATTTTAGCCCCAGTCACATCTTTGCTGCAATTTGAATATGTTCCATACTACAGATAGAGATCAGAATTCAATAGGACTGCCTAACTTTAAGCTTGGGCATAACCTGTGAGAAATCAATTAAAACAGTATTAATTATTACTCTTTCTGTGCCTTTTGAATACCTTTGTAATTTTTTTTTTTACGTTTTGAAACCAAACTGTATAATATAGGGGTGCTTTCAAAGTGAGTATTTATGTGGCTTTCTGTTGCAGGAAAGGGTAATTGAGAAATTGATGTGACTAATTCAAGGTCAGCTAACTTTGAGTTATCACAGTTGAGATAAGTCATGCTTTCTAAAATACTTTTTAGGGGCGCCTGGGTGGCTCAGGTCATGATCTCGGGGTCCTGGGATTGAGCCCCACATCCGGCTCTCTGCTCAGTGGGGAGCCCGCTTCCAACTCTCTGCCTGCCTCTCTGCCTACTTGTGATCTCTGTCAAATAAATAAATAAAATCTTTAAAAAATAAAATACTTTTAAACATTATTTATTTCCTTTTTAAGCCAGTAAAAACAGTAAGAATCAACTTACGCACCTTGTCTCATGCCAAGCTCAAGTCATAGGTCCAGGCCCATAAAATTTTAGCAATGTAATAATTCCCAAGGTTTAAATGCCCCCCCCCTTCTATTGCTCCTATCTTTTGGAGACATATGACTTCCTGACGTGACTAAGTAATTAAACCACAACATGAAGTCATACTTTCAGGTATAAGATTACTAACATACCTGTAAAAACCACAGATTGCTACCTGTCTTATTACCAGAAACTTCTGAAATGAAGGATAGCCTTTAAAAATATTCAGATCTTCCTGTGTTAGGTACTAAATAGAAAAAACTATATGCTGTGTGCTACACATACTTAAATATGTCTCTGATTAAAGTGGTGGGAAATAAAATTGCAGGTAAACAGGTTATAATTGTAGATTTTAAGACATTTTGAATAGCAACATGTAAGAACACATCCTGCTTGTTAAGTATTTGGGATTTTATTGCATAACCTGTTGAATAAATATCTCAAATCCTATCACAATTACCATTTGGCAATGATAATCTCATTTGCTGATAATTATACATGCAAATAAACTAATTTTTAAAATATTATTTCATTTTGTTAAATGACTTTATAATGTTATAAAATGGAAAGGTCCTGGGGAGTAATTTGGCCAACGGCCCAGATGTCTGCTTCAGGACCCAGAGCTCCATCCCCCAGCTGCTGAGCTTATCGGTTGCTGATAGCTCACAGCTGAGTCCATTTCTGCATCTAGTTCTCTGCCAAAGCCTTGCCCAAGGTTTTGCCTCCTTTCCAGGGACATCCCACATTTAATGGCTGGCCAATAGACAAGGCCTGTCCCTTGTTTCAATTTAGAATGAATCTGAGAGGAAATCCCAGCTCCAGAGCTCCCCCCACCCCCAGGATTATTTGAGGCCCCTATTGCAAACTGTTCACAATTTAACTTCTCCCTCAGCTCAAGCCTGCCTCCATCACTCCATTACAGAGGTTTTTCCAAGAGTACACCCCAATGATCCTTCTGCACACGAATCTCCAACTCGACCTTACACAGTTGGTACTGAAAGTGGTCCCAGAATTGAGACTCTAAAATAGGGTTTTGGAGCTGGTTTCCGTGCCAGCATGCGGGTAATGAGAACCCCATCCCTGGTGAGTGGAGTATTGACAGCACCTGCCATGCTGTGGCAATGTGATTACTAATTTGAATCCACTTATATTAAAGCTGTGTCCCACCTGGTTACCTGTAATTGTTAAATAGATAAATAAAACTTGGGGTTTCCTGCATTTAATTTATTGTAGGGTTTGTTCCCGCTATAGCTTGGGCAAGACTGCCACCTCCTGGAGAAACTAATGTATGCTGATGCCTGTGGCGCTCTCATCGCGGGGAATCGCTATCACGAGTTTGGGTCGCAACGCCAACTCCGTAACTCTCCATTAAGTTAAACCAATTTCTAACCCGTTATAACCTCTATGGACAACCTCTATGGAATTTTTGCATAGAACCAAGAATTCGAAGGAACTTGTGCACCACAATTTTTTCAGGTGAAAACTTAAAATCTAACATCTGTAGAGAGCTACAGGTGCCAAGTGCTTTCATTCTTAGTCCTCACAAGAGCCCTGTGAGGTAGGAACTATTATCACAGACACACCTACGTTACGAATGAGTCAAAGTTTTAGCGAATTTAAGGTGACTGACGGTAAACACAATCCCCACTCGGGTCGTCAGAACTCCAATGACTGCTGAGAACTCAAGCTCCGTAGCTAAGTGACCGCCTCGTTCCACTCAGGCATGCGCAGAAAAACACGGAAGCAATTTCCGTAGAAATTGTAGGAGGCTGGCACTGAGTGGGGGGTGGCGAGAGCCATAAAATCCCAGCATTCCCCTCGTGCCGACGCCAAGATGGCGGCCCCCGTGTTGCGGTGCTTTTCCCGGGGCCGGTGGTTTGGGACCCCAGGCCCATCAGGAGTCTTGCTCCTGGGACCGCGTGAGGCCCATTCGGGCGCTCAGGGGTTGCTGGCGATGCAGAAGGCTCGCGGTCTTTTCAAGGAGTTCTTCCCCGAGAGGAGTACGAAGATAGAGCTCCCAGAGCTCTTCGACCGTGGCAGGGGCAACTTTCCCCAGACCATCTACTGCGGTTTTGACCCCACGGCCGACTCGCTTCACGTGGGGCATCTGCTAGCGCTGCTGGGCCTGTTTCAATTCCAGCGAGCGGGCCACAATGTGATCGCACTGGTAGGAGGTGCCACCGCGCGCCTGGGAGACCCCAGCGGCCGTACCAAGGAGCGGGAAGCGCTGGAACCAGAGCGCGTGCGAAGCAATGCGCGCGCCCTACGCCAAGGGCTCGAGGCCATGGTGGCTAATCACCAGCAGCTCTTCGCGAATGGGCGGACCTGGGGAAGCTTCACGGTACTGGACAATGCGGCCTGGTACCAGAAGCAGCACCTGGTGGACTTCCTAACGGCTGTGGGTGGGCATTTCCGCATGGGCACGCTCCTGAGTCGTCAGAGCGTCCAAACCCGGCTCAAGAGTCCCGAGGGCATGAGCTTGGCAGAATTTTTATACCAGGTGCTCCAGGCTTATGACTTCTATTATTTGTTCAAGCATTATGGATGCCGGGTCCAGCTGGGTGGATCTGATCAGCTGGGCAATATCGTGTCCGGATACGAGTTTATCCACAAGTAAGCTCCTTTAGACCCAGGAAAAATCTTGTGACCAAATAATTTACACGTGAATAGCCTGTGATCAACTATTACGATTGGGGAATGACGCCCTTTTTGAATCCTTGGGTGTTTTACTCCGCTAAGTCTGTAATGGTGTTAATGTGACTAGCTCACGAAAGTTGAAGGGCTGAATTAATTATACTAGGCATGCAACGTATTCTTAGAGCTTTGCAGGAAATAGACCACTACTCAGAATACAGCTTGTGTATTTTGCTTCCCCTTAGTAACTCTGCTTTTCGTTGTTTATGCTTGAATGCGACCGTGTCTCCTAGAGTAGTTTCTGATTTAGCTCTGCAGGTCCCATGAAGCTAGTGTTAGTTTTTGGTTGGCATCTCACATTTTTTTCCAACTCCAAATATTTGGCAAATAAGGTAGATTTTAATCGCATTTTCTTGAGGGAGTTCAACTACAGGGCTAACCCATGTGATAACTCATTTTTAGAATCCCTTAAAACATTCTTAGTGTCTCTACCTGATTTCCCCTTACCCAGTTTTCCTTCCTGTTCTCCCTCGGACTTTACAGTTTTCTAGGACCTAGTGATGCAGAAACGACCTCAGAGTCACTGGTGCCATTGCATTTTAGAATGACAAATGCTAAAACGGATTGAGTGCAATTAAGAGGAACAAAAATTCAGATTTACAAAATAAAGGAAGTTTTCTTAGAGCAAGAGACCAGAATGAAATCTGAAGAAGGATTTGCAGAACTTACCATCACTTTTGCTTGAAGCACATAATGAAGTTTTTCTTTATGCTTAGGTTGACTGGAGAAGATGTATTTGGAATCACTGTTCCTCTAATTACAAGTACATCCGGAGCAAAATTGGGAAAGTCGGCTGGTAATGCTGTTTGGCTAAGCCGAGAGAAGACCTCTCCATTTGAATTGTATCAGTTCTTTGTCAGGCAGCAGGATGATTTGGTAGAAAGGTGAGTTCTTAATAGTATCATAATAGTATCCTGAGAAAAATTAACTTTATAAACTCATAGTTTTAGCCATTGAATCTCTATGTTTATAGTTTCTGTGTTTTTGTTTTCATTTAGATTTTCGTTTAAGACACAGAACATTGCAATTTTAACTCTTCTGAACAGTTTTTTGTTGGTTAGATCAGAAAACCACTGTGATTGATGAAAACTTAGAGCCAAGTTTGTGATCTACATCTAACAAGTACTTAAGACATTACCACTTGTGTATTCTAGTTTTTTCACTCCTTTTATCATCAACTTGGACTACACCTGATTTTACCTTTGTCTCAAAAGTTTGTTTTCTTTATTACATCTTTTGAAAATCCTTTTTAAGAAATGATTTTCTCATTAATTCACATCTTAAATTCTTCAAAGAATATAAATTAATGAGAAAAATACACCTGCAATTAAAAAAAAAGGTGAATTTAACCAAAAATAACTTTTCCATAGTGGAAAATATGCCTTCTCAAACTACAATAATTAAGGTTTTTTCCTTTAGATTTATTTCAAACATTTGATGATACACTTTAGGGTTTTGATGTATCAAGAATTGACATCTGGAAAGTTTCCTTTTCTATTTGGCTCTAATGTATAAAAATACAGTTAATTTCTATGACTAAATGTGTATCCAGCAACTCTTCTAAAATCTTCTAGTAATTTTTGGTTTTAAAGCACAAGCTTAAATTTAAGATTTAGTAAAGAGACTAATGGAAAAGATTAGAGAATCCAGGTGGACTCCAGCATCTGTGGTCACATGATCTCTTTGGCACTGCAGAACATTGGGATAAAACAATCTTTTCAGTAAATTTCACTTAGATAATTAGATGTCTTATGTGGGGAAAATAATGAAACTTAGTCTCACACAGTTTGCAAAAATCAGTTCCAGGTAGATTATCAACCTAACTGTTAACAAAAGATAAATCATGTGTTCAGAAGATAAATAGGAAAATATCTTCATAACTGGGATAGGGAAAGATTCTTAAATGAGATACAAATAAAGATTTGACTAAATTACAATTAAGATCTACTGTTCATTGAAGTCACCATTAAGAATAGAAGAATATCCATTACATGTACTAAAAGTGTAAAGAGCTTATACTCAAATTCCATAAACCAATAAGAAAAAGACAACCCAATAGAAACATAAGTAGAGGCTTGAGCATGCACTTCAGAAAAATTCTGTCCAAAAGACCCAAAACATCTGAGAAGGTTGCTCAGCCTTAATAATGAGAAGAAAATGCAAGATAGAGGTACATTACTGTTATGTACCCTCCAGAATGGAGAAGCAGAATTAGCAATACCAGGTGTTAGTGAGAATGTTCCAAGGTGGTGGGAGAGTGAACTTATTGTGGTATCAGTCTCGGCCAATTGCTAGTGGTGCTATTGACTAGAAATGCTTGAGGAACTCACCTGGGCACATACCATTTGTGGCAAGCCCCACAGACCTTTCCCTGACCAGAACCAGTGTTGAGGCTGGACTGGGCTTTGTGGTTCTTACGATTGCCGGATGCATCTCAGCAGCAACCATCAGGGAAATCTGAAAAACAAAATTTCTTACTCACAGGTCCTGGAGGGCCACACAGAAGGCCCTGGGTAGAGAGAGGGAGGGAGTGTGGACCTAGGCCACAGCCTTATTGTAGACAAAGGGTGGGGTGCCTAGGGCTTTGTAGGTTCACCCTTTATTGGGAAATTTTAAAATATAAAAGCAGGAATTAGGGAACAGGAAGGGGAGAAACAGGGTCACTCAAGTGGTCAGTTATCTAGGGCTTTCTAGAAGAGAAACTTCATGAGTAAGGGTGGCCTGGTAATGGATCTAGTTGGTTTGCTACTAACTGTATCATAACAGCTGGCAGTATGTTTATTCAAAATGAACGTCTTTAAAATGGATAATTTGGCAATTAAAGTGTCAGGCACTTAGAGGCATCAGATTTTTTTTTTGTTCTTTTTTTCTAATTGAAGTATAGTTGACATACTGTATTAGATTAGTTTCCAGTGTGCAACATAGTGATTTGACATTTTATATACATTATGAAGTACTCATCACAATAATTGTAGTCACTGGCTGCCTTATTACAAAATTATTATTATATTACTGCCTGTATTGCCTATGCTGTACTTTTCATCCCTGTGACTTTCTTATTTTATTTATTTGTTTTTAAAATTATTTATTTATTTATTTGACAGAGAAAGAGATCACAAGTAGGCATAGAGGCAGGCAGAGAGAGAGGGGGAAGCAGGCTCCCTGCTGAGCAGAGGGCCCAGTGCGGGGTTGATCCCAGGACCCTGGGATCATGACCTGAGCCGAAGGCAGAGGCTTTAACCCACTGAGCCACCCACACGCCCCACTTGCTTATTTTATAACTGGACGTTTGTATATCTTAATCCTCTTCATCTGTTCACCCATCCCCTCCACTCTTGGCAACCACCAGTTCTCTGTATTTATAAGTCTGTTTCTGTTTTATCTGTTCATTTGTTTCTTAGATTCCACATGCAAGTGAAATCATGGCATTTTTCTGAGTGACTTATTTCACTTAGCATAATACCCTCAAGGTCACCCATGTTGTTGCAAATGACAAGATTTCTTTCTTTTTTACGGCTGAGTAATAGTAATATTCCATTTTTCTTTAGCCAGTCATCTATTAGTGGACACTTACGTTGCTTCCATTTCTTGGCTGTTGTAAATAATACTACAGTGAAAATAGGTGTGTACCTACCTATCTTGTTGAATTAGTGTTCTTGTTTTCTACAGGTAAATACCCAGAAGTGAAACTGCTGGATGGTATCAAATTTCTATTTTTAATTTTTTGAAGACCTCCCTACTCTTTTTTGTAGTGGCTATACCAGTTTATATTCCGCCCCCAACAGTGCATGACGGTTCCCTTTCTCCACATTCTTGCCAACTTACTTCCTGTCTTTCTGATATTAGCCGTTCTGACAGGTGTGAGGCGGTATCTTATTGTGGTTTTGATTTGCATTTCCCTGATGATTCATGATGTTGAGCATCTTTTCATGTGTTTGTCGGCTATCTCTCTCCTTTGGAAAAATGTCTGCGTTGTTTTATTTTTTTTTTTAATTTTTTTAAATCAGATTGTTTTTTAATCAGATTGTTTTCTGGTGTTGAGTTGTATAAGTTGTTTATCTATTTTGGGTATTATCCCCTTATCGGATATATCATTTGCAAATATCTGCTCCCAGTCAGCAGGTTGCTTTTTTGTTTTGTTGATAGTTTGCTTCATTGCGCAAGCTTTTTATTTTGGTGTATTCCCATTAGTTTACTTTTGCTGTTGTTGCTCTTGCCTGGGGAGAAAAATCCAAAAAATATTGCTAAGGTGGATGTCCCAAGAGTTCCTGCCTCTTTCCTTTTAGGACTTTCATGGTATCAGGTCTTACATTTTGGTCTTTAATCCATTTTGAGTTTATTTTTGTGTGAGGTGTGAGCAAGTGGTCAAGTTTCATTCTTTTGCATGTAGCTCTCCAGTTTTTCCAGCACCATTTATTAAAGAGACTGTCTTTTCCCCATTGCATATTCTTGCTCCTTTGTCATAGAATAATTGAACATCTAGTCATAGGTTTATTTCTGGGCTCACTATTCTGTTGGTCTGTGTATATATTTTAGGGCCAGTTCCCTACTGTTTTAATTATTATTGCTTTGTAGTATATCTTGAAATCTGAGTGTGATCCCTCCAGCTTTGTTATTTCTCAAGATTGCTTTGGTTATTTGAGCTCTTTCATGGTTCCATACAGGTTTTAGGATTGTTTGTTCTTAATTCTGTGAAAAATGCTGTTGGTATGTTGATAGGGATTGCTTTAAATCTGTACTTCGCCCAAAAATAAATAAATAAAGACTGTATTTTGCTTTTGATAGTATGGACATTTTAACAATATTATTCCAACCTATGAGCATGGTACATTTTTCCATTTATTTGTGTCCTCTTCACGTTCTTTCATCAGTGTTTTATAGTTTTCAGAGTGCAGGTCTCTTACCTTCATTAAATTTATTCCTCAGTATTTTACTCTTTGATGCAGTTGTAAATGGGATTGTTTTCTTAATTTCCTGGTCTGCTACTTTTTTGTTACTGTATAAAAATGGAACAGTTTTCTGTGTGTTAATTTGGATTCTGCAACTTTACTGAATTTATTTATTACTTCCAGTAGTTTTTTGATGGAGTCTTTAGGGATTTCTCTATATAGTATCAAGTCATTTGCAAATAGTGACAGATTTATTTCTTCCTTACCAGTTTGGGTGCCTTTTATTTCTTTTGGCTGTGGTAGGACTTCCAGTACTATGCTGAAATAAAGTGGCAGGTGGACATCACTGCCTTGTTCCTGATCTTAGTGAAAAGGCTTTGAGATTTTCACCAGTGAGTATGATGTTAGTTGTGGGTTTTTCATATTTGGATTTTGGGGTATGTTCCCTGTAATCCCATGTGGGGCTCAGTTGAGAGTTTTTACCATAAATGGATGTTGATTTTGTCAAATGCTTTTTCTACATCTAATGAGATAATCATATAGTTTTTTATCTTTTGTTAATGTATATCATGTTGATTGATTTGCATAATTGAACCATCCTTATATCCTTGTAATAAATCCCATTGGACCATGGGGAATGACCCTTTTAATGTATTGTTGAATTCAGTCTGATAATATATGTGAGGATTTTTGCATCTGTGTTCATCAAGGATATATAGCCTGCAATACTCTTTTTTTGAAGTGTCTTTGTCTGATTTTAGTGTCAGGGTAATGCTGACACTTTATACTATGTATTTGGAAGCATTCATCTCTTCAGTTTTTTAATAATTTGAGAAGAGTAGGTATTAGCTCTTTAAATGTTTGGTAGAATTCACATTTGAAACCATCTGGTCCAGGACTTTTGTTTCTTGGGAGGTTTTGATTTCTGATTCAGTTTCATTTCAAGTAACTGATCTATTCAGATTTTCTATTTCTTCCTGATTGTCTTGGACGAT